GGTCACGCTCACCGTACGTCAGCGTGATATGCGTGAAGTGCGCATGACACGTGTACTGCGTGGAGCTGAGTGTGGCATTGATCACAAATTGGTGCGGACCAAACTGTACATATATTTTCGTAAATCTATGTATCGCACTCCCGTCGTGAATCGGCGTAAATTTAACATTCTCTCCCTCGGGACTGTGGCGAAACGTACTGAGCTGGAGAAGGCGCTGGCTGCACGCCTGTGTGATGTGAAAGGCATAGCCACAGTGGGCTACCTTTGGCACCACATTCGCGACCAGGTGACAGCTGCTGCCTAGGAGACCATCGGGCGCGCAAACTGTAAGCGGCCTGATTGGTTTGATGACAACAATGCGACGATTGGCATCATCATCATCATCATCAACAGCAGTGCATCAGCCATTTGAACTGATGCTTCGCTGCCATACAACCATGAGGAACTATGAAATAAAGAATAAGAAGAGGGAGAGAAGTGGGACTTACCTGAAAACCTTAATGCCCTAAGCAAACATTCAGGGTCAAGGCGCCTACACCTTGTGTAGACAACATTCCGTCACAAACAGCTGGCTATCGTGCGACGCATTGGTGTGTGAGAAGAATGCAGCATTTGCTGCACACGTGGTAGACCCCAGTGACTTGGGGAAGAGTAGTCAGTTTCGCAAACTTCGACGGCGACTGACCCGAGAGCTCCGTCGCATTAAAAACGTATGGTGGACGGAAAAAGCGAAGCAGATGGAATGCTACGCCGAACGCTGCCAACAAAAGGAATTCTTTGACTCCTTGAAGGCCGTGTATGGACCGAGGTTGGACCCGCTGAGGACGCTGATCGATGGTAGTTCAGGCGCTACCTGCACACAGACTGCAGACATAATGCAGGTCTGGCGAAAACACTTTGACTGTCTCTTGAACAACCGTTCAGAGATCGACTGGTCTACATTGAACTGCCTGAAGCAGCACGATGTGAAGACGAGTCTGGCGGACACGCCGACATTGGATGAGACGCAGAGAGCACTTGCTCAGCTGCGAAACGGCAAGTGTGCTGGGGCCGACGGGATCCCACTTGAAGTATTGAAACACGGCGGACCCGCGTTGTTGACTGCGCTGCACCACTTGGTGCAACGTGTATGGATTGAGGAGGAGGTGCCTCCTGAGCTGAAGGATGCCCTTGTGCTACCACTGTACAAGGGCAAAAGGAGCAAGCAATGCGGCACGAATTATCGTGGCATCAACTTGCTGAGTTGTGTGGGCAAGGTGATTGCCCGAATCCTGCTCAACCGCCTCGTCAGTCAGGTTGTGGAACCAAACGTGGCGGAAGAGCAGTGTGGATTCCGTTCGGGTCGCAGCACTATAGATATGGTGTTTGCGGCTCGTCAGTTGCAGGAGAAGTGCAGAGAACGACACCAGCCATTGTACTCGCTGTTTGTTGATTTCACCAAGGCATTTGATACGGTGAACCGCGAGGCATTGTGGCTGGTTTTGGGTAAGTTTGGTTGCCCGCATAAGTCTAAGTTTAATTGAATGTCTGCACAGTGGTATGCGAGCGAGGGTGCAGCTGAGTGGAGAGACCTCGGATGACTTTACAGTTGTCTCTGGTGTGAAGCAAGACTGTCTTAGCTCCTGCCCTGTTTAATATATATCTTCATGCAATGTTGTCTTGTGCTTTTGATGCCGCTTGTGCTTACGGTGTTCGTGTGGAGCACCGTATTGATGGTGAGTTGCTGAACATCCGTCGTTTCGGTGCGAGTCTGTGAGACAACTACCCGGATGTTGCTGTTTGCTGACGACTGTGCGTTGTTTTCACACAGCGCGGATGAGTTGCAGCACATGACTAGTGCTCTGGCTTCGACAGCGGCCAAATTCGGGCTCACCATCAACACAAGCAAAACGGTCTGTCTCTTTCAGCCTTCACCGGAGGCACAATCTTCTATATTGCCGCGAATCAGCATTGGTGCTGAAATATTGGGACCCACCTCCCGCTTCTGCTACCTTGGGATTGTGATGTCGACTGACCAGCAGCTTCGCGATGATCTTCGTATCCGGGTCTCTAAGGCAGCGGCGGCATTCTAGAAGCAAGATTCCCGAGTGTGGAACAACCATCAGCTTACCATTGGCACGAAGCTGATGGTGTACAAATCCTTTGTACTGTCGGTTCTTCTATACGGCAGTGAAACGTGGACGATGTACCGTCGGGATGTGCGATATCTCGAGCGGTTCCATCAGCACTGCTTGCGACGGATTTTGCGCATCGGTTGGGGCGACAGAGTTGCAGACACGGAAGTGTTGCGACAAAGTGGAATGTATGCAGTGGACTGCATACTTTTGCTGAGGCACCTGAGGTGGATCGGTCATGTGAGCCGTATGGATTCGACGCGGATACCGAAGCAAAGCTTATATGGTCGGCTGAGTATTGGGAAGCGGCACGTGGTGAAACCAAAGTTACGCTACCAGGGCATGATTAAAGTGAGCCTCTCACGTTCTAATCTTGGTTGCAGGTCTTGGGAATCGAAAGCGGTTGATCGGTGTGCATAGCGCAATCTAATCACGAAGGCAATTGCCGAAGTGCGGGAGAATGACCTCATACATGCAGAGAAGAAGCGGCAAGTGCGGAAGCGGCAAGCACCGATGGGTTGTTCTCCATCGACATCAAGCGCATGGTGCTGTAGCACATGCGGTCGCGAGTGCCTGAGTCAGGCAGGCTTAGTGAGCCATGAGCGAGGCCACTCGGGACCACTACCGAAGCGACGACGGGTCCTGCAGAGGTAGGCAGAACCGGCGCAGCGTTTGTAGGTACGCTGCATTCGATTTACTAACCGCGTGCTTGCATGCTAAGTCTCTTTATTTCAGGTGGTGGGTTTTCAATTTAGTCGTAATGCTTTTCTTTCTCATATACCTGCCTACCTGTACTATCTTCTATAAACTTACACACGTCGCTTAAGCCAGTTGTAGTTGATTTCGATAACATGTTCGTGTTTGTGTCATTTCCGTAAAATATACTTTCTGACCTGAACTTATCTCGGATTTGTTGTTAACAACTTATTTCACATGCTCGTCAATCTAAGATGTTTGTCACGTTTCCTTATACACTACTCGATTTAGCCTCTTTGTTATCTTTCTCTCAAGTGATTGGCTGTTGCTTGATATCCCCGGTGTGGCTTCGCTTGATGTGCATGTTGACAAGGTGCCTGTCTGTCTATTACCTACTACCTCGTCCATACTGCCTCCAGGAGACAAATGGTCGTTGCTTGGAGAGGACGGGGTGCGCGTTTCTCTTGGCCGTGCTAGGCTCGAAGAGTGGTTCCATACACTCAGTGTGGAGCGGACTGCGGTCCAGCCACCTCCTTGTGTGCGCTTGATGCCCCAAATACAGCGTGCTTGTGTTTGCCTGTGAAGGAGTGTGGGCCAGCTCCGTTGATGAAACGTGGCACCCATCCAAATGCCTCCCGGTCTTATTCTTTCGGGTTTACATTGGATATGGGGTGTGTGGATGGAGCTGTGAGTGATGCAGCGCAAGACATCCATGGTCCCTCTGTAGGCGCAGGCGTCCTGTGGCTGGCCACAGTGACAGGCAACTCCGAAACCGGATGCAGTATAAAGCCCTTGTGTATGAACCTCGGCAACTGGCTTTGCGATCAGATCGGGAAAAGCACGCCCATCAACCGTCTTTGATTTCCAACACCTGAAATCAATATTAGAACGTGATAGGCTCACCTTGATCACGTCCTGTTATATATATATATATATATATATATATGGTTTTAGTTTTTTAATTCTCTTTTGCTTAGTATCTCGCTTTTCATATATCTTATCTTTAGTATTGCAGCGTAGTTAGCTGAGGTACATTTTTTACCTTCAGCTAATGTGCTATGATTATGACGAACTGGTTACAAGTCCTATGCTTCCATATCGAATATTCGCAATACATCACTCATTTTAGTTAGTGGCATTTCGCTTATCATCATGTTAACCTTCATGAAGATAGATTAGGCATCTATATAGTTGGTTTAGTCGACCAGTTTGTGCTCCATTCAGCAGAGATACACATGGTCTCATATTGGTCTCATAGATGTTGAGCTGACTGCATTCTTACAAAAGTATATCCACTATTAAATGGGTTTGTCTTTAATATAATACCGTATTTATTATCTTTGTAAGACAAAGGATCTCCCCCTTTCACATATTTTTTATTTCCCAAAATGGTTTTTTAAATTTCCTTTACTTTTCAATCCTTTTTCTCCACAGATGATTACGACGGGACTTCGTTACCTGCGGCGATTTTCCAGTGTCTCATTTCAGTCTCCTAGCCTGACTGAAATTACAGTAACTTCCGATCAGCATGAGGAGTATTTCAAGAGCTTATTGCGTGAAATCGCTTCCCCGACGCACACCCCTTTACCAGAGGCTGTTTCCGCAACTGAAATCGCTCCAGAGGACATTCTCGAATCGCAGAAGCCTTTACCACACAGACACAAACGAAAGAAAAACAAAAATGTGGAGTTGAAGTCTTTGACCCACTTTGCCACTAAGACATCAGATGTACAAAGGATATCCCACACTAGGCGAACCACCTATAAACCCAAGATCTCTGACCTTACTTTGGGACCCATCTCGAGTGCTCCACTATACCCACCCACTATCAGTCCAGACCAATCAATATGTGATAGTATAGTGACACTCCGCGAATGGTTTTCGAATCTTGATTTAAATTCCTTATCCCCAACTCTCCATCCTGCCGGGAATTTAGCGGCATATGTTCCACGGTAAGCTGATTGACTCTCCGTGATTCCTATTCACAGCTCACACACATTAACTCAGTTGGTGCTCCTGGGTGTGGATTTATCGAAGATTGAATCCATTCCTGGAGTGGCTAACATGCTGGTTAAGCTTGACTTTCGAACAGCAGTAGAGCCACTAATATGGAAGCTTAATGGTTATGGCTTTTCCTTAAAAGCGGTTGCTCGCCTCTTTACCGGGTATCCGAAAATACTACAGGTATTTGCACAGTGATTTACTTTCGAAGGTGGCACTAAACAAGCTTCCTTCAGACGAACTGGATAATCGTTTGAACTATTTCTTGAGCCATGGATTCAAACAACCCGTCGTCGTTGAAATGGTGACTCGTTACCCCACTGTACTACAGATGGCAGTCATTGAAGTGGACCGACAGTTGGGCGATGTGCAATCTGTGTTCCAATTTAGCGGTAATATCTTTCACATATTGTTGAGTTTTGTGTGTACAGCAGATGAACTACGCGGCTGTGTTGCTTCCACTCCAAAAATTATCCTCCATCCATTATCGAAAATCAAAGTAAGTAACCTATATTTTAATGTTACATATTTTATTATATATCCACCTAGGCCAAAACCTAGTGATGCTTATGTGTCAACTACTGACCTTACGTCTGACATGCGTGTCACTCATGAGCATATTTTCACTCACGCTTGGTGAAACTTTCTATCCCCCCCCCCACCCTTTAGGACGTTTATGTGATCCTGACCAAAATGATTGGATTTTCGACTCCAGTGACAAGATCAATGGTTTGCAGCCATCCCAAGCTCCTTGTAACGGGTGAGTTGCCTCTGTTTCCGCACTAATTGAATTTGACGATGCATTGTGTTTGTATCACATTGGCCGCTGACTTGTTACCATGCCCCAGGAAAGCGCGCGACTGACTTGGACTGTGCTGATGATAGTTTCTTGCTTGGTGACGACTCACAGATCATGCAGATCGTTCTAAACCGCTTGGTGATTGAAGCTACCAAGTGTGGCATGACTTTCGCTCTATCGAAATGTAAGGTCCTACTCCATGATTGGTATCCATCTGTGCCCCCGTGCTGACATTTGAAGGCGCGCAGCTTGAACAAATGGATAGCTTCGTCTACCTTGTGAACTGCGTTCGTATTGATGGTACTATTGGAAGAGAGGTTTCTCTTCGGATTGCCAAAGCTCGATCAGCTTTCGTTAATTTGTGGCATTCGTGGTGTCGTAGTTACGTCTCATGCTCGGTTAAGGGGTCTACGATGCGTGCGTTTGTGCGGTACTGTTGTACGGTACTTAAATTTGATTGATGCATATAAACCATTTGCGTCGGATTTCGACATTATACAGCGGTTGTCTGCGGAGGATCTTGGGTATGGTATGAAAACCACGTTTGCAACGACGATGTTGAACGTTGGTTCAACAAATCGAAGGCACCTTGAATGTTCAGGTATACGATTACGATGGGTCGCCAATAAATATGGCGGTGTTCCAACAATTGGTGTAATGTGAAGATGTGGTCAGTATAGGCTCGATTTCGACGAAACCCGGCTTTCACCTCCCGAATCTAGCTTTCACGGGTGCCAGTTAGCCTATGGAGGACGACAGAGGCAAGTAATTTAGAGGCAGTTAAGGACAGACTGCCACATCCCGAACGTTAGTCTCCCATGAAAACTTGGGACTATAACGGACTTGCCCTAGTATTTTAGAACAGTCCCCTGCTCCCACAGCCCACTTTTAATCTGCAAAAATCATCCATGAGAGCATGACCTCGAATCTGAAGAGACCTGGAGGAAATCTATCTGTTTCTGCGACCTTATCAAATTTCCACAGTCTGATCCCACATTGGATTTCTGCTCTTGGGGCGGATCCAAGGACATCGCGACGAGACTGGTTTGTGTGCCTCAACGACTCATTGAGCTATCCTGGTTGGTGCTTTTTGCACCTTCAGAGCCACTGATACCAGACTGGTAATTGATTAGAGACCAGAGAAACTCAGTTTTTTGGCTCTCTATGTTGGGGATTGGAGTAGCGATGGCTCCTTACTCCACAATCGGACTCTCTGAATCCCAGTGTCAAAACCCTGCTGGCTTGCGGTCAGGTTTTCGAACTGAAATCTTCAGTTGAGAACCTTAATCTTTCTTCCTTGACCCGTAGCTTTAAGTATCACAAACCTGCCTTGGAATCTGAGGGCGCGGTATCTGCAGTATCTTTAGCCCACCTACGACTGGTGGTGGTTGCGTGCCAGCGAAGCGTCGGTACTGCGTACTGGCGTACTGCTGATGCCTTTCTTTCTTTCTAATGATTCTCCTGTCTAGGCCTAATCAGCCTGACATTATCCTGCCCACAGAGTGCAACATTCACACGAAAGCACTGCAAGTTGCAAATGCGAGGCCAGTCGAGCCATTATCACGACTCTGTTAAAGATGCTTGGATGAACAGCAGGTCCCTACCGTGTGGTAGCAGGTGGAAACCCGCCAACTAACGCCCAGTGATTCTCTTCCCAATGCTGCCAGAGGTGATAAAGTCGATCATTGCTGAGGCACTAATGGGCTGTTTGGCAAGACTTAACATTATAGCACCGAAGCAACATGGCTTCCGTCAATACCGATCATGTATTACCAGCCTACTGATTTCGCACGCCAATGGAACCGAAACAGTGAATATTGGCACCGGAAACGATATCATCTTTCTATGCTACTTTAAACCGTTCGACCGCTTGAACCACCGCATCGTTCTGCAGAAACCGAAAACCTACGGCATGGGGAACCATGTCCTTGCATGTATTAGAAACTTACTTCTTTCACGAGAGCTGTGGGTGCGGGTTCAAAGGCTCATTGTCCGATCTTATTGAGGTGGAATGCGGTGTTCTACAAGGATCACCGTTGGATCCACGCCTATTGTTGATCTTCAGTAACGACCTCGAGTCTGCCATTGAGTCGAAATACTTCATTTTTGCGGATCACGATCGGTAAACAGGAAGATCACGATCTGTTGTAACGAGACCTAGACCATACTTTTGTCGGGCATAGCCATTCCCACTTCCGTTTAACATGAGCAAGTGCAAACCTGTACATGTATGCCACAAGCCCACTAAGGCATATGAATTTGAAGACCTCCTCACAAGGGCACGACTTTTGGTGATTCAAGATTACCTCGGCTGTTATGAACAATCCGTGATGTTCAGATCCGGATACCAACATGTTGGTCTCTTACGGAAGGACGGGGGGGGGGGTTCAAAGGGTTTGACTCTTCCATCTTCCCCCAAATACTCAATGATTGTGTGAGGCCCCATGTAAAGTGCGCCATTCAGGCCTGGTAAGCTTGGCTAAAACTCGATCTGGCTGCACTAGAGACCCGGCAGCAAAGCGCACTCGAAAACGCTTGGGGATTCTCCCAACTACTACAGTAGTCTCAGCAGTACACCAGCCATTTGAACAGATGCTTCGCTTACGTACAATCATGATGACCCATGGAATGAAAAATAATAACAGGGAGAGAAGGGGGACCTAGCACAAAACTTTGATGCTCTAAGCGAACATTCAGGGTCAAGACTCTTACACCGTATGTCATCAACATACCGTCACAAACAGCTGGCTAGCGATCAAAGACAAGGCGGCATCAGCAAGACATCATCCTTTTAGCTTTCATGCCCCGCGTCATAATCAGCCATTACCCCGCAGATAACTCTGCAACAAACACTCCTTAAACAGACAGCCCGAGTAAAAGATGACAGCAGACACGCCACGGGTGTTGGCTGCAAGCCATGTCTGTATTGAGCCAAGCACAAGGTAAGACGGACCGATAGCACCGATTTTGGTCGTCAGTGACTTCATTTCCCGCCGCCAAGTTTATTTTTGTCCACTTTGGGCCTCGTACCATCCTACATCTGGCAAACAAAACAAGTCTCTCCTCGGTAAGCGGTGACTAAGCATACATAGTACGTGTCCAAGCCAACGTAACCTATTCAGTACTAGTTGTTCTAAGGAACCAGCATGATTATCACTGCCTGGCGCTCACCTATGCACATCGTTGTTGAGGCCATTCGATACCAGCAATGCTTCGCAAACAACGATGATCAAAGACTTGAAGGCACCGCAGGTCCTCAGCTTAAAGGGGCCAAATCTCTTTCCATGGAGTAGGACGGCCTACACTGTGGCCTTGTAAACATAGCATTTCAAACCGAGGGGAATCTCTTTCTGACACCACAGATGTCGCTGATTCAAAAAGCAGTCCTAGCATTAGTAACGCATGAATTGACTTATTATTTTGTGTCCATTGTTGCTGATGCAACTGCGAAGGTAAGTGAATTGATCAACTACCTCGATGCTCGCTCTCAAGGGTCATCAATTGGCTAGTGGTCCTGCATTAACACTTTGTACTCTGAAGGTACGAAGCGCATGCTAAATGATGGAACCACTGTAGAGAGGTTATTCAGGATTAATTGTGCCGTCCAAAAAATGCAAGACAATATATTCAGCGTAATCAAGATAGACTAGTCTTTCACCAGGTAGCACCCCAACGCTTGCATCATGAGGCTCCGCAAGGGAACATTCCATGGTGAAGTTCACGACGAAGTGGAACAAAATGGGGAAATTGGGCAACCCTGACGAACGCCACTTGTTGTCGGAAAGGCATCCGACAAATCACCGTAGACCCTAACACGAGCTGTAGTGTTCGAGTATAGAGCACGTACAGTAGCTGAGGTGTTCCCCACCTCTAGCTAACGTGTATGATGATGATGATGATAGAGCACGTAATGTGTTCACATATTTCATGGGAACACCTTTCCGCACAAGTATTTTGAACAGAATACATTGGTCGACTGAGTCGAACACACACTTGAAGTCTAGGAACATAGCTATTGTCGGCATGCGGTACGCGTGGCGCTACTCTAGCACCTGCGGCAGAGTGAATATGTGGAATATACAGCCGCGTCCAGGGCGGAAAAATGCCTGCTCTTCCCTATCCGCGATTCTCGCCCCTCATTGAGGCGACGAACGAGAATAGAGGTCAGTAATTTTGTCACCAGCATTAGGCTAACACCCCTGTGGTTAGCACAGCTGGTGCGACTGCGCTTTTTGTATATTGCCACTATAATCGATCCACTCCAGTTAACTGGGATGGTCTCGTCCCTCCAAACCTTTTCAAACAGGGAGGTCACTGCTTTGCAGAGGACTTCACCGCCAGTAGCACGGCCAGTATCACGAAAACGATTAAGGGTTGCAATTGAACTTCGGACCTAAGCTTCCGATGGAGCCTCTAAACTAACCGGCCATGGCTTAGCCTTCAACACCTAAATTGGAAGCGGTCCAGAAGCATGGGGTTAACCGAACTGCTTCCGAAAGTGGTGCGCCCAAGGAGCCATACGGCGCTCTTTATCATGAATCACGGCACATGAGCTGTCTCCGGGTATATTCATATATATTCAACACAGCCAATAGTACAATTGGCATAGTGCCACAACGTATGGAAAATACAATAAACAAACGAAGAGAGAGGAAATACGGTGTTCATTAGAATTGAGAATCACAACAGGTCCGCCACTGCGCACGGTTTCTTGCCTTATCTGAGAGTGTTTCCAGTCATGCGTGTTCCGGATCCTTCATACTCTAGCCTGGGAGCCGAGTGCGCTCGACCACGGCTAAGTTTGACGTTAACTCCTTCATGCTCCTGGCCCAAATCATATATTGGCCACCTTACTTTCGCTTCCAGCCGACTTCTGCGTGCGCGAAGAGGGCACGGTTAGGTAAACGATGAGTAGGCATGAGAAGAACATGCCCAACTCACTGAAGTTTGCGCGGAAAAATTATACTGCTGTCTGATCTGAAAATCC